AGGTTTCAAAGCAATGATTACTGAAAGGGAACATTTGATATTTGTAATGAGTTTTTTCTAAGTTCAATGCACATTTTATTCTAATTGTGCTAAAATACTGCATTTATATTTCCCAGAATTTGACAAGTCACTGTTAAATTAATCCAGAAGTACACATGGGTATGTGCATATCCTGATAAAATCTCAAACAATGAGACTAATGAAGGATCGTTACCACACCAGGCACTCACTGGCATTTTAAAGTTGGAGTAATTGGCCCAATGTGGTGCTGTTTGGTACACTGACAGTCAGGTCAGGGGAACCATATTAATGAAAGAAAGGCTGGGGAAATAGTAGGACACAGTGACAAAGTGTGGTGTCACTTTACTTGCCATGCAACCAAATGATGCACTCTGATGATTTTTAAAATTTACTTTTAGAACTATAAAACCATTAAAACACTGACTGAGGTTAACACAAAGTAGTTTTAAGTGAGGAAAGAATGTTTCTCTTCAGTTTGCAATATACAAGAGCATTTTAAGCAAGAGTTGCAACAAACCCTTATGTGTGCAGAGAGCTTTGTTTCCTGGAAGATGGCTCAGTGCCAGGTTATTGATTACAAGTTGATGTGGTAAATTAATCTTCAAGGGGATCCATCTTTTGAAGTAGATGTAATGAGTACTTCTAGTTCTCTGAATTATAGCAAGAATCAAATGTGGAAGCCAGTGCACACAGTTAAGGATAGTAGCCACTTCAATGCTGTGTCTCATAAAACACATTCACGCCCTAACCAGTTTGGCTCAGTGGATAGAGCGTCGGCCTGTGGACTCAAGTGTCCCAGGTTCGATTCTAGTCAAGGGCATGTACCTTGGTTGTGGGCACATTCCCAGTGCAGAGTGTGCAGGAGGCAGCTGATTGATGTTTCTCTCTCATCGATGTTTTTAACTCTCTATCCCTTCTCCCTCTCTGTAAAAAATCAATAAAATATATTTTAAAAAAACACACACAAAAAAACCCACACATTCACTAAACTTCCTATTTGGAAACTCCAGAACTGTGGGGATGGAGGCTGAGTAAACCCATCAACTATCTGGGTTTAAACCCTGTGGTTACATTGCCAAACAACCTACCAAGACAGGAGTGTGGCTGCCAGGGCAAACCTGGGCCAGTTGTCAACAAAGTCATAGCAAACTGTTTAACTGAAAGTCCAGATGCCAAAGTGGAGCTCAACAACTCAGGTCAGTGTCCAAAGAGTAAAGGTCCCAAAGCCAAGGTCTGCTTATCCTATCTGGCAATGTGTACCACTTAGGAATCACAACACACTTTCACAGTGTTGGACTACATCAAAAGTACAGATAGCATTATCTGTTTAAGGCCCTCAGGGTACAGCAGTGAACAAATACAACAAGTTTTAATATTCCAAAAACATATAACATGTCTGAAACAAAGTAAATGTTAAATATATATATTTGTTAAGTATCCTATATAATAAAGAGGGAATATGCAAATTGACAGTCACTCTGTCACAAAGATGGCTGCGCCCACAGCAGAGGGGGTGTTTCCGTAACACAAGATGGCTGCATCCACAGCAGAGGCCAAGTTCCCATAACGAGCCTTAATGAGCAATCAGCATGGACCTGAGGCTGCGCCCCCCATCCACCCCCTGTGGAGCTTGACAGGGTACCTCAGGCCATGCCCCCCACCCCAGTACCCCCACCCTGGCACCAGACTGGGGGACCTGAGGCTGCACCCCCCCACCCTGCAGGGCTTGATGGGGGACCTCAAGGTGTGCCCCCAGCCCTGGTGCTGGGCCAGGGGACCTCAGGCTGCTCCCTATGCCCTGGGATGGGGGACCTCAGGCCATGCCCCCCACCCAGTGGGGTTTGATGGGGGACCTCAAGGTGTGCCCCCTGCCCAGCTGGGCTTGATTGGGGACCTCAGGCCATGCCCCCCATCCCAGCACCAGGTTGGGGGACCTGAGGTTGTGCCCCCCACCTGGCAGGGCTTGACAGGGGACCTCAGGCCACATCCCCTGCCCAGGTGCTGGGCCAGGGGACCTCAGGCTGCTCCCCCCACCCTGGGCCAGGGGTCTTAAGCAAGACACCCAGCACCAGGGTACCTGAGGCTGTGCCCATTGTCCGGCACCAGGCCGGGGGACCTAAGGCTGTGCCCCCTGCCCAGCGGGGCTTGATGGGGGATCTCAGGCTGCATATCCCACCCAGCAGGGCTTGATGGGAGACTTCAAGGTGTGCCCCCGCCCAGTGGGGCTTGATGGGGGATCTCAGGCTGCATATCCCACCCAGCAGGGCTTGATGGGAGACTTCAAGGTGTGCCCCCGCCCAGTGGGGCTTGACAGGGGACCTCAGGCTGCACCCCCCACCCGACAGGGCTTGACAGGGGACCTCAGGCTGCAGCCCCCGCCCAGCGCCAGGCCAGGGGACCTGAGGCTGCACCCCTGCCCAGCGGGGCTTGACAAGGGTGGGACCGGTTGGGTCTGGATCTAGCCCAATGGGGGTGGGGCCAGCCAGGTCTGGCTCTTGCACGATTTTGAGGCACATTGTGGGTGGGTGGGGACTTGACTCTGGGTCCCGTGGTGCACCCCAGACTCTGACAGGAGGAAGATTTTCATATACATTTTATTAATTTTCTTTCATCTCTGACACACCCCATGACTGCTGCCTACAGAGGGAGGCAACTGGTTGGGGGGGGGGGTGCCCTGCACAGATGGCAAGCAGTGGCAGCGGTAGGGGTGGGGCCAGCTGCCTGCAGCCAGGGGAAGGAAAGCCCCAACAGGCCCTGATCTCAGGCTAGTCCTAGGGACCCTACCCGAGGGTTCCCAGATTGTGAGAGGGTGGAGGCCGGGCTGAGGAACCCCACTGAGTGCACGAATTTTCATGCACCAGGCCTCTAGTAATAAATATAAAAGCTATATAAAAATCAGTATTTTATTTACAGACCAGCAAAACTTCATCAGAAAGTACAATAGGAAATTTTATCACTTGTGGCAGTGATAAAATCTATAATGTCTATGGTAAACTCTGTGACAATACTTGTTCAGGAATTATATAAAAACAAAACTAAACTTTATGATAAAACGTGAGATAAGATCTGAATATTTATTCCGAGAATGAAAAGGAAGATAAAAACTGGAAAGATGTTGATTTTTCTTACTCAGCTTTAAGGTAATGTGTTCACAAATTACAAGAGTACCCCTCACAGACACTTGCTGAGGAATTTGACAGGTGTCAAATCCATTTGTAAGGTAAGTAGCTAAGGGGGAAAAAAAGATGGATAATGAAGAAATACACCTTAGAGATTCCAAATGAAATAATATTCAATAGCCATAAACTCTTGTGGTATTGGCCCAGATGTTTGGCAATGAAGGAGGAGTAATTAAGGTAAGTGAGGTACTTGAGGAGCAAGAGACTGTCTTCACAGAGATCTCAAAATGCATTCAAAATGAATTAAAAATTACATTTTAAGATATGTAGCCAAAATAACTTACTGACCCAAAACTTTATTCATAACCTATTGCTAAATTATACCAGCAAGTTGAAGATCAATCTATGTTTAATGGTCTCTTTGCTGTTATAGCCAATGACAACAAGCCTCCTTCTAAACCTGCAGATGTTTGCACATTTACTTATTTTGCTTTGGCTTGAACAAGAGATATATAGAAAGACTTGTGCTCAGTATTAAAATTTCTCATACTTCAAGTGAGCAGGAATTGGAGGTCTGGTGGGTGAGGAGATTATTATATTTTCCTTTATGCAGCTTTGCATGGTTTTACCAGCTGCAATCAGCATGTGTTAATCTCTATAGCAGTGATGGCAAACCTTTTGAGCTCGGTGTGTCAGCATTTTGAAAAATCCTAACTTAACTCTGGTGCCGTGTCACATATAGAAATTTTTTAATATTTGCAACCACAGTAAAACAAAGACTTATATTTTTGATATTTATTTTATATATTTAAATGCCATTTAACAAAGAAAAATCAACAAAAAAATGAGTTTGCGTGTCACCTGACACGCGTGTCATAGGTTCGCCATCACTGCTCTATAGAGATGTTTTAAATGATAAATAATTCGGGCCACTCAAACCAGGCATGAACCTCTCCAAGACTCAAGTTCTTGCATCTACCTGCTTTTACAAGCAATCACATAAAATGTGCTCCCACTAAACATATCCCAAATGATTGTTAATTGCTGGGAGCTGGTCCATGCTTGCTGTTTCAAGGGACCTGGCATATATGGCATACGGTTCTTAATATGTTTGCTCACCTTCTTGGCACTATGTGTTCTAACCAAGGTCTCTGAGAAAGGTTGTTTCCCCAGGTAGGGATTTTCCCCTGAAGTTAGGGAGGGAATAAAACCTCTTAACTAGTGCCAGGTGGGTAATTAATCACTTTAACTACGAACAATCATGCTTAAGCTACATAATCTTTACTCCCTGGAATGGAGATAAGAAACGCCCTAACCTTTGTAATAGAGATTGATAGGATTGAATCAACTGGTATAAATACAGATGTAATAAGACAGTAAGACACAGAACTTAGAATACGGAACCAGGAGAGACGGAACCTAGGCACAGAACCTACACAGAACGTTCTCTAGAGACAGAAGAACTTCGTTGGAGAGAACATGGCAAAAGTTCCTGGACAGAAACTGGCCTCAGAACCTAGAGACAGAACCTAGCGAGAGAACATGGCAAAAGATCCTGGACTGAACCTGACTACAGAAATTGGCAAGAGAACCTGACTAGAACCTGGTGACTGAACCTGGCTGGAGAACCTGGAGAACCTAGCAAGAGAACATGGACACAGACCCTGGCTGGAGATCCGAAGCAGAACTTTGCTGGAGATCCAGACCAGAACTTGGCTGGAGATCCTGGCTGGAGATCCTGGCTAGCCTGCTGATCAACTGAATGCTGTCCCCATGTCATTCCTTCTTCGCCGACTCCGTCCACACCTTTGGGGACCCCTGGACCTGCTGGGGTTGGACCCCGGCATATGGCGCCCGAATTCGCCAAAATGACTAACACAAAGGGGAAGAGGAGAGGCACCCGCTATATGTTCTCTAGGCCTTTTAGAAAACATGGAGTTGTTCCTTTGGCCACATACATGCGAATCTACAAGAAAGGTGATATTGTGGACATCAAGGGAATGGGCACTGTTCAAAAAGGAATGCCCCACAAATGTTACCATGGCAAAACTGGAAGAGTCTACAATGTCACCCAGCATGCAGTGGGCATTATTGTGAACAAGCAAGTTAAGGGCAAGATTCTTGCCAAGAGAATTAATGTATGTATTGAGCATATTAAGCACTCTAAGAGCCGAGATAGCTTCCTGAAACGTGTGAAGGAAAATGATCAGAAAAAGAAGGAAGCCAAAGAGAAAGGTACCTGGGTTCAACTGAAGCGTCAGCCTGCTCCACCCAGAGAAGCACACTTTGTGAGAACCAATGGAAAGGAGCCTGAGCTGCTGGAACCCATTCCCTATGAATTCATGGCATGATAAGTGGGAAAAAATAAAAAAGACTTATGTGCTGATAAAAATGTTTCTCTTAATTGAGTAGAAGTGTGGCATCCCTTCCCCCCAAAGAATAATTGAAAACTTTGTGTCACCCTAACTGGTTTGGCAAAAGACAGAACTTAGAACACAGAACTTAGAATACGGAACCAAGAGAGATGGAACCTAGGCACAGAACCTACACAGAACGTTCTCTAGAGACAGAAGAACTTTGCTGGAGAGAACATGGCAAAAGATACTGGACAGAAACTGGCCTCAGAATCTAGAGACAGAACCTAGCGAGAGAACATGGCAAAAGATCCTGGACTGAACCTGACTACAGAAATTGGCAAGAGAACCTGACTGGAACCTGGTGACTGAACCTGGCTGGAGAACATGGACACAGAACCTGGCTGGAGATCCTAAGCAGAACCTCTCTGGAGATCCTGACCAGAACTTGGCTAGAGATCCTGGCTAGGCTGCTGATCAACTGAACGCTGTCTTCGTGTCATTCCTTCCTCGCCGACTCCGTCCACACCTTTGGGGACCCCTGGACCCGCTGGGGTTGGACCCCAGCATCTGGCGCCCGAACAGGGACCCCTAGGTAAGCGCCCCGCAGTCGGGACGGATAGGACTCCACCGTAGGAAGAGGGTGGATAGTCTTCGCCGACTCCGTCCACACCTTTTGGAACCCCTGGAAAAGGATTCCCCTAGGTAAGCCCCCTCCATTGAGAACCCCCACACTCGGGACGGATAGGACTCCACCAGGGTGCTACAGACCCCCCTATAGAAGATAAGTAGGGTAAGAAGGTGGATAGTACAGAACTTAGATTGAGAAGATGTGCCATACTGAGTCCAAAGAAAGAAGACTCTGTATTGATCCTTAGATTGAGAAGATGTGCCATACTGAGTCCAAAGAAAGAAGACTCTGTATTGATCCTTAGATTGAGAAGATGTGCCATACTGAGTCCAAAGAAAGAAGACTCTGTATTGATCTTTAGATTAAGAACATGTGCCATACTGAGTCTAAAGAAAAAAGACTCTGTATTGATCTTTTAACATATATGCTTGCTAGCAGAGGAATTAAGGTTACTCCCAGTCAGACAGAACGTTTTATACAAGAAGTATGTCCATGCTTTTCTGAGGAAGGAAAGGTAAATGTAAAGGCATGGGAGAAGGTAGGCCCAAGGAGCCTTATCCTTAACCCCACTGCAGCCTTTCCACCCCGGGAAAGTGCAGGATTGGCAAGCTCTCCCTGGGGTGATAGATCAGGACTCAGGTAATAGCAGAAAGCGCCAATCCTACTCTTAAAATGGATATAAGAGAGCATTTCGGGGTTTTCTTTTTAATGCCTGCTTTTAAAAAATAAAAAAGGGGGAATTTGCTGGGAGCTGGTCCATGCTTGCTGTTTCAAGGGACCTGGCATATATGGCATACGGTTCTTAATATGTTTGCTCACCTTCTTGGCACTATGTGTTTTAACCAAGGTCTCTGAGAAAGGTTGTTTCCCCAGGTAGGGATTTTCCCCTGAAGTTAGGGAGGGAATAAAACCTCTTAACTAGTGCCAGGTGGGTAATTAATCACTTTAACTACGAACAATCATGCTTAAGCTACATAATCTTTACTCCCTGGAATGGAGATAAGAAACGCCCTAACCTTTGTAATAGAGATTGATAGGATTGAATCAACTGGTATAAATACAGATGTAATAAGACAGTAAGACACAGAACTTAGAATACGGAACCAGGAGAGACGGAACCTAGGCACAGAACCTACACAGAACGTTCTCTAGAGACAGAAGAACTTCGTTGGAGAGAACATGGCAAAAGTTCCTGGACAGAAACTGGCCTCAGAACCTAGAGACAGAACCTAGCGAGAGAACATGGCAAAAGATCCTGGACTGAACCTGACTACAGAAATTGGCAAGAGAACCTGACTAGAACCTGGTGACTGAACCTGGCTGGAGAACCTGGAGAACCTAGCAAGAGAACATGGACACAGACCCTGGCTGGAGATCCGAAGCAGAACTTCGCTGGAGATCCAGACCAGAACTTGGCTGGAGATCCTGGCTGGAGATCCTGGCTAGCCTGCTGATCAACTGAATGCTGTCCCCATGTCATTCCTTCTTCGCCGACTCCGTCCACACCTTTGGGGACCCCTGGACCTGCTGGGGTTGGACCCCGGCAGTTAATAAGGCAGATGCTTTCCCCAGTGCCATTCTATCATTTATTCTGACAGTAATTCTGTGAAAGATAGTTTTATTACTTCAGGGAGGCCATATTGCAAAGTGTACATCATAGACTCTGAGGCCAAACTGCCTGGGCCCAAATCCTAGCTTAATCTACTCATTAACTGAATTAACATTAAGCAAGACACCTAAATTTTCTGTACCTCAGTTTGTTCATTTTAAAATAAGTACAATAATAATACCTACACCTCATAGAACTATTGTGAGGATTAAATAGGTTTATATATGCCAACCATTAGGATCACTGTGAGGCATGTGATACCGGTCATAAAGGGTTTGTTACTATCATACTTTCTCAAGGATTTGCTGTGAAGGACAAAGGAGACGTGTTTAAAAATATTTCATAAATTGTTTCATCATACATATTACTGCTGATTTATTCCCTATTGAGTAAGATATAGTATCTACCTTAATTTTAATGGTTTATTGTATTAACAAACACTATGTGAAAAGTTACCATGTTTCTCAAATTTTAGGTATCATTTTCTGACTTATTTCCATTAATGGATTGTTCATTCTAAAGGGAAGAACAACACTGTGATAACTCTGAATTATAAACCTTTTATTAAAAATTGGTATACCTCACTGTCATAACCCCAATAGAGGAAATATGCTTGAATGGACTGAACAGAAAGAATTTATCATTTTAGTCTGATATTTAAGTTTTTTTTTAATTTTTAAAATATGTTTTTATTGATTTTAGAGAGGGGGAAGGAGAAGGAGAGAGAGATAGAAACATCGATGAGAGAGAAACATCATCGATTGGCTGCCTCCTGCAAGCCCCCTACTGAGGATCAAGCCAGCAGCCCAGGTATGTGCCCTGACCGGGAATTGAACCTATGACCTCTCAATTCCTGGGTCAACGCTCAACCGCTGAGCCACACTCGCTGGGCTGATATTTAAGTTTTTTAGTCACCAAATAGAGAAGTGATTGAAGTAGGCCCAACAGAATCTTATTAAAGTTCTGCCAATCTGGAAAACAGCCACACAGAATATATTTGGCAGTGTCATTTACTTGGATTATTTCTCACTCTCTCTATCCATGCACCAAGTGTAGAGAGGATGCTCCATGACACATGACACATGTCAAAAACAATCTTTTCCTGGATTGTCAATGTCCATTTTGCAGCCTGACATCTGAAACCACAGCCATCTTAGTCAAATATATACCTCATCTCTTCAAGATAAATAATGCCAACAATTTATTGAGAGCCTACAGAAAACCAAGGACCCTTCCACGTGCTTCTTAAAAAATGTTTTTATTGATAATTGAGAGAGAGAGAAACATCAATGTGAGAAAAAAAATCATCTATTGGTTTTCTCCCACACAAACTTCTACCAGAGATTGAATTTGCAACCTGGGCATGTGCCCTGAACGGGAATCAAACTGGTGACCTTTTGGTGCATGGGACGACCAATTGAGTCACACCAGCCAGAGTCTATGTGCTTTTCATGACCATCTCCTTTAGTCTACATAATAGCCCTATACAACAGGTACTATTATCTGTTTATTCTACATATGGTAATTGAGGCTAAGAATATTACTGGTCTCAACCTAAGTGGCAGACCAGGTTCTGAGTCCAGATATCCCTGACTGCAAAATGTGCACCCTTTATATTCAGTGCATTGTTTGACAATTGCCAGTTTCTCTCTTGCTCCCTGTCCTATCACCAATGATGTCACAGTAACTGAATATAATAATTCTTTTGTTTCCTGGTCCTCAAGTCCTTTGATATCTGTGAAGTATCTGATGTTCTTCCTTTTGCATGAGTGATCCTTGACACAGAACCCTCTGGGTACCTCTCACTTCTTTGGTAAAATTACTCCCCCAAGCCGTAGCTGCATCCTCAGCCCACCCAAGGTTCAGTTCTATATCCTCTTCACTCCTTTCTGCACACTTTGTAGTAGACAACATGTTTGTACTCACACAGCCTCAGCTCAGCCTGAGTCTTTGGGTAGTGTATTTGCCCTGGTCATCAGATTCAACATACAAAACATATCAACCCTGAAACTGCTCCTTTTCTGGTACTAACCATATCTCTTATTGGCATGTCTACATTCCCCATCACTGAATCTCAAACTTGCATTCAATTTGCATCCATCCCCCAATTCAATCAGTTATCCCAATCCTGTCTACTCAATAATTCTTGTATTCATCCTCATTTCTCTTTCCTTTCCCATTGCCTCTTTCAACATACACAAAAACAAGAGTGTCCTAATAGTTCTCCCTATCTTCAGGCTCTTCTCAGTCCTACCCATTTCACACACTAATGCCAATTTAGTCTTTAACACATTCATTAATTTATATTTGGACTTCATTTTATCATAGAGGGAGCAAGAATTAGTAATAATTTTTAAAAATATATTTGTATTGATTTCAGAGAGGAATAGAGAGAGATAGAAACATCAGTGATGACAGAGAATCATTGATTTGCTGCCTCCTGCATGCCCCTTACTGGAGATAGAGCCCGCAACCCAGGCATGTGCCCTGACCAGGAATCGAACTGTGACCTCCTGGTTCATAGGTCGATGCTCAATCACTGAGCCATGCTGGCCGGGCAGTAATAATTTTTTAAAAGATGACTGAAGAACATAGTAATAACCCTTCCCAGTGTGCCTCATATATTTTAATTTAGGAGTAAAACTATCCTATCTAATAAAAGAGAAACATGGTAATTAGCCATACCTCCACTACCCTTCCCATTGGCTAATCAGGGCGATATGCAAATTAACTGACAGCCCAGATGGCGGCTGGCAGCCAGGCAGCTTGAAGCAAACATGAGGCTTGCTTGCTTCAGT